GCGAGGAATTTGCTAACACACGACAATGCAAAAGCAAAAGGAAAGTTTATTTGCTAGCTCGAGCTAGGGTCCCTGCTCTTGCCAACGTAGTGGCCTAAGCAATATGTGCTATATTTTTCTACATTCTCAAGATGGATGCCTAACTCATTGATTTCAGTCTTTTTTTTTATAATATATGAATTTAAGGCTATAAATTTCTAATAGCAGCCTTAGCAGCATCCCATAAAATTATATATGTAATATTTTCATTATCAGTCAGTTCAAAATATCTTCTAATCTCCATCAGAAATTATGAATTTATCTTTGACTCATGGGTCTCTCTCCCTTTCCAAGTTATAGTGCCCAAACTTCAGTGGACATAAAAATAACCACTGAAGGCCTTTGTCAGAATGCAGACTTTGGAGCCCCATCTCAAACCTACTGGAATACTATTTCTGGAAGTTGGGCCTGGAGATCTACATTTCACATGCTCTCCAAGGGATTCAGATGCAGGTGGGTTCTAGGACCACAGTTTGGTAATAGAGCATGGGTGTTCTAAAGGCAAGGAACAAGTCTCATTTCCATGTGTCACCAAGGCCCAATACTGGGCCTAGCATAAAGGTTTGTTTAATAACTGAGTGTACCAATGGGTGAAGGAAGAAAGGAAACAAAGTAAAAGGTCTTATATTAGGAGAATTGGGATTCTTAAATGCTATAATTAAGGGAACCACACTCACATCATTTGGTTAAACGGCATCCCAATTTAATCCCATTGAGGGCAGGCAAAATTTTTTCCCTTGTCTGCCTACCAGGCTTCCCACCATCTGTCCTATTCTGCTGTCTCGGAACCTAGCCTGGGTATATGCATGTCTACTAGCCCAGAAAGGCAGGGGAGATATTCTGAGAGGGCCTGTTCAGAGCTGGCCATTGCTCCTCCCCTCCCCCCCTCCCCCCCACCTTCCAGGCCTTGCCAGAGAAAGGTGCAAACCCCATTGTAGATAAGGTTATCTATCTATCCTAGCTCTCAGAGCACTAAACATTCCATCCCAAAGCTTTTGAGAAACTTCCTTCAGACCTTTCTGTCCCAGTCCCAACCTCAGACACCCCATCCCCTGCCTCCTCTGCACTTGTAGCCCATGTGAATTACTCTTTCAGCAGCCTGTTGGTGACCTTTCTCCACTTCCATGCTTGCCTTTCTCCTGCATTTCAGAAAGGCCCTAGCCTGTCTTCCCCAGCCAGCTATTGTCCTGGCAGCACAGC